GGGGGGGGACAAGAAAATTCCGAAGTGTCAGCAAAACCATAGTTCGAACAAATTAGGCCAAAACACAAGAAAAGGAAATATTCATAAGGAGAACCTTGCAAAAAGTACAAGGAGAATAAGACCAGGTGATCTGGAAGAGTTAGCGTCGTCTTCGATGACACCCGGCATAGGGAACTCGGTAGTAACAACAAAACCAAAAGGCACTCTAATGAGCATGATAAAACATGTCGACCTTCATATCACACAACCTCTTGAGTGAAGAATCAACGGTGACATCTAAACACCGTTGTAGGGGAGGCAGGAATGTAAAGATCAAGAAAAGGAATGTTAATGGCTGCTTCCACATGAAACTGCTTAATAGTATTGGAAGACTTCAAGTAGAATACTGTACTTTGTGATTAAATTCAAATTGCCATTATTGTAAAACACTTAATCTCGTCCCGCGTGATGCCAATATTTAAAACAGAACTTTCTATGCCAATTGAAGTCTTTTTTGATTCCTGTTAATAGGCAAATATTCGTTCTGTTTCCGCAGATGATGGATTTCAACGACTGCTTAAAATATCCAAAGGGATTATACACTTATTGAGGCCTGGCTTTTATCCTTTCCCTACCGACACCTTTATATCTTCTTTTTTTATATTTCCTCCATATTGTCGAATAGTGACACCTGTTTCTGGTAATATTGCACCCAGTGCCGCCGTTTTACTCTCTATATACTGCAACCCAAAACGTACTTTGCCTTAACTGGGGAAATACATCTGCGTCATTGTCCAAACATGCTTTGAAGGTTCTCGTATCTTTTAATTCAAGTCCTTTTAATTCAAGTCCAATTGCCGACTTCAATAACGAAACCTTATATATTTCAGAGCTTTGTTACCTCAAAAAGTAAAACAGGAAAGGATATGTGAATTTATGTTTGGCCTTGGTCAATGGCTAAATTGCAGCAAATCTAACTCTAGAATATTTAAAAGAAAATGCGAATATCAGGAATATATAAGGGCCTGGTCACCTCCGACTCAAAACAGGAGTAAATTTCAACATCGCTAGGGTGACGTCACTCAAGTAGGATAAGTGTTTTCTTGTTGATGAAATCGGTCAAAATCAAACTTTCGGAATTCCGACCTCAACATGTCCAGTTTATTGTTGGATTAGAAAAACCCAAGGGTACCTGATGACTGTTTCATAAACACAATGCGGTAATGCGCACGTGTTGTCATTTGCTCCGATACAAAAACAACTGGATTGTCCCAGTAGGCTGTAACCGAGAAATCGCCAAACTCGTAAGAAATGATATTCCAAATTAAATTGTCGTGAAATAAACCGTTTATTATGACACCCCTTTACCTTGTAGTATACAGCAATTGACATTTACCAAAACGTAAATGAGAGCTTCTCTATAGTAATTTGATTGTAAAGCGACAGCGTGTCTCTCTGATAGATCTTCAAACCAGGAGCATCTACCATGGACGTTACCAAGCACAAAGAACTTCCCACCTGACTGGTACTCGTAGATTTAACAGATAATTGTGTGCGGAAACATTTGGACATAAATTTAGGAAGAGGAGTTTTCTGGATGAAGATAATGCATAAACGAATGGAACATCTGATTACTGCCAATGGTTTGCTATATATAGATGTACCTTCGATCCTCCAATAATTGCTTCTCGACCGAGAAAGCAACCTGTCATATTTTCAATGACTGATTTCCGATAATTACCAAACTAGATATATCGGTTTGTATCGATAACGCCGTTTTTAATGAGATTGGTCTCCGTTATTTCCACGAAAACAAGGTTCAAATAGGACATACAAAGAAATTCTTTATAAGTGTCTTCAAACTTGGTCTCTACTCACTGCGGAGTAATGTAATAAGGGTGATACCAAAGAGAGCTGAAAGAAGGGATGCAAATCGAGCCTTCTAGTCAAAATTGATGTTTTTTGTATAAATGTACCTGCAGTTATGCCATAAAGTTATGACGTTTAATACAGTAAGCTCGTAGAACATTCCGATATAATAGGGAGCAACCACGAATGTTAGCATACGGGGTCATAAGGGAATGAGGACAGTTTTCATATATATACACATTCATATTTGTGATGCATCCTTACATTACAATACAACTACAGTGCCGTAAGCCTATGACAACATTAACTTTAGCTGATATAACCAGACCAGAGTATGAATAAACATAAATGTGTTGTTGTCAATTTGAAAGAACTACCAAGCAGAGAGGGAAAACAAACTTGTCATCAAATATTATTTTAATAAACGCTATAACATTTTTGTTAGTTTTTATTTTATATTCCATCTTTTGCTTACTATATTGTCCTCTTGTACAACAAATATGGAATATTCATTTGATTGTTACAAACATTTCACGTTTGGCTGTAAACCTTAGCTTTATTCAGTTTTTAACCAACAGCAATATGTATTATACGACCATAATTTAATTTGCTAAAATATTTATAGCTTAAAAAATCACAACCAGCGGTAATCACTAAGTTTCGGATATAACGGAAATGCATTTCACGTGTACAACGCTTCAGGAGTCCAGTGGTTGGACGCATCAAGTCGTTGTTCCACTACCGAGGAGATAGCGTTGATGAGGTTGCCTTCCATGCCCAATCCCACTCTCCAATCGCACGCGCTGTTATAATCTCATAATCTCACACGCACCATTGACACCGGGTCTTTACGTGAAAATATACACACAGCTCTTATTCCTACGCAACAGATGATGAGGTTTTTTTCTGTTTAAAGCACAGAGGGAACAGTCACGGTTATGTTATACTATTTGTTTTGAATGTGAGCACTGAAAGTATTATTAGCGCTAATTTATTGAAATACTAGATTCACATTAGGCGCTCGTCGCAATGGTCCAGATACCTGGAAGTATACATAATATATCAAGTTATCTTTAGAACATTGTAATATCAATATCGAGTATGAAATAAAATAGATATTACCGACAACATCATTGTTTTATATATTGTTGTTGCTGTCTTTAGATGCATGTTTAACAAAGTAATAGTTCACACAATTTCCATGAAAAGAATTACGCACTTTTTTAATGCACCGGGTCGAATGTCGTTAGCTGACGACAGAACAATAGACATCAGTGATTAAAAACATTTTTGTTATCTTGTACGAGATATCTTTTTTATTTTCCTTTTTTCTCTGATTTCTCTTTTCATTATCAGCATTTTTCTGCAAGACATGGCTAACATTGACCAAATTTTTTTAAAAGGAGGCTTTACTATATTTTTGGTTTTGGCTTTGTTTTAGCTCTAGGTTTTTCAATCTTAAATTCGAGTAACACTCTGGTATTTTCCTGTTTTTGTTTCTGGGTACAAATATTGTGATCCCATATCTTAAGTATTAACATCACGCTAGAGTTTGCGCACCTATCAATCATTCCCACACAGTTTCACCAACTATTCGCTCTCACACAAACTCTTATACAGCATGTTCTACACGATTACATAATCGCATACACTATGTTATTTTTAGTACAATAGCTTCATACATCTCAGCTTTACAGTCATATTTAGAATATGACAAGTAAATTCTTCACATGTTCAAAGTAATAAAACGCAGTAGCTTGCAATCATATTTCATGATGCTGGGAAGCACGTCTTTGATAATTTTATTTGCAAACATCAATGTTTTGTAGTGTCATAAACGTTAATAATGTGCAAAACAATAACATCAAACTTAATTGATCTTTCCTTCATCTTTCCGTTTGGTTTCTTTAGTTCCGTGATATTTTTTAAGCATTTTAACCAAACTGTTTTACCAATTGTTCGAAAAGCCATTTATGAGGGGACAAGTTTATATCCTCGACGGTTACCATTTTCGGCAGAAAACATAAAAAAATCGAGTTTCCTTCAAAGTTTAATTTCACGTCAAAATAATGTTGGTCTCCGGATGCAATAACTACGTTTAATAGTTTTTGACTTTTTGCATTTGAAACAATATTTGGAATCGACCGGTTTTTTAGAGGTAGTATAACGGATACATTATTTATAGCTCTGAGGGTGTAGCTTCCCGAGGAAGTCGCATCGTTGATAACATATGATAATTTATTAAAATATTTCTGTAAAAACAATATTTATTACACATAATACTTTGATGAGATCTTTTTACAAGTAGCAGCCAATCCGCAACCATCCGTATGCGTGCAGATTTAAGAACACGACAACTTCGCCGACATAGAACGCACAAACATACACCATGATACAATGCAATATCCCTCCGACTGCAGTAGAAAGATGTGTAACAGACGCGTATACATCAAGCAATCCTTGAAGCCAGTAACAAATAACACGTCATCAGCTGACACTCCTTGTGTTCTTCTATCGCCTAATCACCAATTGCCAAGATCCATAAACTTTGTAAATTATCTTATCAAACCTTCAATATTGACACACAAATCTCAAGTGCATTTGTATTTCGATAATTTTCACAGTATTTCCATACAACGGAAATTACCTTTTTGTTTGTTTGTTATCAAACGTTGCGCAGTCTTGTTTGGGGATTATGATTATGAGAGTGGACTAGGTAACGTGTTTTCCTGCTGGAGCAGTATTTCAGCAGCTGATCTGTGGTTGTGTACACAATGTATCTGATTTTAATTCTGTGCGTAATTTGTCTGGTGAAAAGTTATTCGGTCGTTGTATTCAAACGTATCGACGTATGTGTCATCCTTAAGCATATGACCACTGTTTATGATCGCCAGATTATTGCCAATCAAGCAAACCGATAGACACGTCTCCATTCCTCTCTGCCGTTTTCTAATCATTGATCTCAAACAGCGAGAGAACGGCAGCGAAACTATCGCAGAATGCAAATTGATTGACTCGGTAACGCTAAAAGGTTGTTCACAACTGATTTGTTATTCCTGTTTTATGTGGAGTGAGCAATGTTTGGTCAATTATCGACCCCGGCTTCGCCCGGATGTAACAGGACATTGAGAACTCCTTTGACACTCTTCATCCCTCCATGATGTCAATTGAGGACGCGACTTTATCACGGGATTATTATTTTATTTTATATTCTGGTACATAACGATTTATCATTGATATGGAATCAAAATCCGATAGCGGCTATACATCATAGCACTCCTCTTCATTTCAGACATGTACTTCTCGCGCATGTTTGATAACTAATATATCATATACATGTATATCAATATCTGCTGTTGATCGTATAACATTTACTACACTAGCGAATATAAACTACCTAACCTATAGCGTACATGTACGTATCAAACAGAAATTATTAAGAGATATACTTATTACCAATGAGTGTGCTTACCAAATAGCAAATAATAACATGGTGTTTGCTACCAAACGTTTAATCTATATTAACGCTAGCCCAAACACTCAGCTACATCATATGTTACTCCTTTGCAATAGAGGATTTAATAAAATGTAGACGCGAGGTAAAATACGGTTGTTGTGTTTTCAATGGGTTTTTAACTGATGTGTATTAAATAGACAAAACAACATTCCCGCTAGCTTGTTTATGTTCACGTTCATTTTACTGAAACCATTACTGAAAACCTAATAAAAACATAAATTGTGGATCTTTTTCACTGTCGTGCGTCTGATCATTTGGATTGCTCGTAGCTAATGGTTTTAGGAATAAATAACAATGGTTTTCTAGGAAACGATTAAAGGAAATGGCAAATCTGCATCCATTAGATGGAGTAATCTACCAAATCAGTCTTGTTGGGTTAAGAGTTAAAAACATAATTTGCCCCAACATGCCACGAGTACAATAGCCGGCGTACGTCACAGGTTGTCCCGAGCGGACGAGGATAATGACAGGCACATTTGTTGTTATCATAGGAGGCCAGAGCTACAGTTGACTGTCCTCTAACGTCTGTTCATTCAAGGAAACTATAAAAAAAATAGGTTCCTCCGATATTACCGGAACAGCAATAAAATACCGGAACGACATAAGGAGTCTGTGATACGCATTGTACAATTTTAGTCTGGCACACCGACCTCTGGTGTCCTCATGGTAAGGGTATGTCATTGGGTTTGAGAGACATAAATAGTCAAATGCTCCTACAAAAAAAAAGCTAGACGTCTTTTAACATCGATCGTTCTGTCAGTGTTTGATAGGCATTTCCAAGTAGATGTGTTATTTTGACACAGCCGATACATTGTAAACGTTTCACTTGCTGCTGTGCAATCCGCTATACTTATCTGCAATACAACGGCGGTGACACTCGCCTATGAAGTATCAAGGATGTGTTGTTCACGGGGAACGGAAGAAGTCGCGTTTTATCAGAAACGCGAGAGATTACGTAATTGTAAAGTTATCTTATGTCGGCGGGTAAAATAAATATATCTTTCAGTAATCACATTGGAAGACAATTTGTCTTTCTTTCCGATACAACTATAAACGTGGCATGCCAATAAATGACTATTTAGAAATACCCTCTTTAAACATGACGAGTTTAAGATCAGAAATTATTTTCGCATTAAGGATGCAGTCAAACGTGAACAGAGATCAACAGTTTGTTTCTGATCCCTATACAGATTTCCTTAGTTGACATGTTGTTTTGGTACTTCTGTTGAAATCTGTGTTTGGCCAGGGTTTGCTCGCATTCGAAACCAATATTTAAATAAGACAGATCTAACCACGGATTGTGAAACCGTGGAAAAGGGGAATGCGTCTGAGTACAACATCTCTGTCGGATGCACTTTTTAAGCAACCATCCGACGTCTCTCGATTAACCAATAACAACACAATGATGAGTTAATGTACGTTTTTGTTCCAATTTAATAAAACTGTTTTCTTTGCAGTTTTTTTCATCGTACTTGTTTGATATCTAAATGACAAATCATTTATTTTGCACCCAAGGCTCTATCCTATTGCCAACTTTTGAAATTCGTTCTACAGTAAAGTCTTATATATAGTTTATTTTACCTGTTATATATTATAGTCTGATCTTTATTATATGAAACTCGTTATACAGTAAAGTCTATATATAGTTTATTTTACCTGTTATATATTAAAGTCTGATCTTTATTATATGAAACTCGTTATACAGTAAAGTCTATATATAGTATATGTCACCCGTTATTTATCGAAGTCTAATATATAGTATTTATTACCCGTTTATATTAAAGTGTAATACATTTTAAATATTCAACCCGTTATATATTTAAGTCTAATATATAGTATATATCACCCGTTTTATTTATAAAGTACAATGTATATTACCTGTTATATTTTTAATCATTCATCAGTTAATAGTATACAATACATTTTATACATATATGCTATATGATACATAGTGATACTTTATCAATTATACGTTACATATATATAGTATTACACATTACAAATGTATATATACATGAATAAGAAATAATCAGCGTATGACCGCGTTGGTGTTACGTGGTTAAGGAATAAGTTACAACAATTCTTTTTAGATTATAGACGCCAAGCTTTCCATTTTTGTGGGTGTGCACCTCCCAGCGACCTTAGGAGCAGAGTCAACACATCTTTTATCACGATCTTAGTCATAACCACCATAGTTTGGAACAACGTGCTACAGTGTAATGCGTGTGTGCAGGAAGTGTGTTAGTAACTGTTCGTTATGGGTACCCATTTCCAACTGCTCATACTTTTAGTATCATATTAGTTGGATGCAACAATATTCCATTTTAAGTGGGCAGATTGGAGTATTCTCCTGTCACCCACATACCACTGGATGCTCCGAGCTTATGTTATAAATAACTGCCTTGAATTCTTGCGCAATGGAGCAAATATACATTATAATTCGCAATTAATCAGATTTTGAATTAGATTGGCTAATATTACAAGGTTTGTTTGGTAAGCTGGTCAGCTGATCAGGTCAAGTTCTCATAGACTGACTAGGTACATTTTTGCAGCTTAATATGTGTACTTACAATCTGTCTGAATATGAAGTTGATATGTACTTACAATCTGTCTCGTCATGCTGGTTGTCACAGTCCACCCAGCCGTCACAAACGGACTTGTCCTCGACATACAGCCCATTGCCGCACGTCTTGTACGACCCTGTAACAGAGCAAACATGTCTTACAGAAACATGTAACAAAGATACCCCTCCAGTACGAGCATGTATCTTAATAAGCTTGTATGAATATGCTGCATAAAATCTATGTCCCGTATGACCATGTACCAAAGAGAACGTGTCTCTTACGACCTTGTTATTTAGAGAACGGATTTTGTATAGCCCTTCAAATTAGATATTCTATCCAGTACAATACTGTGTGAGAGACAAGGGAGACAAGTTTATGTTTGGTTTGGTTTAGTATTGTTTAACGTCCTTTCAACAGCCATGGTCATTTAAGGACGGCCTCGCATGTGTGCAAGATGCATACGTGTAGTGTATGCGTGTCTGTTTTGGGAGGCTGCGATATGTTCGTGTTTGTCTCCTTGTGATATCGCGGAACTGATGCTGACTTTATAGTGCTAACTCACTGAACATACTGCCGAAGACATCCAGCAGGACACCCCACCCGGTCACATTATACCGACAACGGGCGAACAAGTCGTCCCAATCCTAAATTGCTGAGCGTTAAGCAGGAGTAGAAACTACCATTTTTACAGACTTTGGTATGTCGCGGCTAGGGGACAGAACCCAAAGCCTTCCTCACAGGGGCGAACGCTCAACTAAAGGCCAAAAACGAGGGACACTAGGAAGAAGAAAGTTGTTTAGAAAGGGGGCAGCAGGTACAATTCTTACGCCCTACCTACAGGGATACAAGTTTATGAATGGTGGAAGAATTAGATAACTATATTACTTGAAAGTGAATTGGGTCTTCAAGTTATCTAAATTTAGTGTTGAAATTCTGTAACAAAATTTTAACCGAGGCGCGAGCTCGTTTACAGTTAATTGAATTTTTCGCGCGTTATTAACTCGAACACAACATTTTCATCAAATTTTACCAGTATTTCATCTGAGGTCTCAAATCAGTAAGGAATCCTTGGTAAGAAAAAAGAAAACATTTTTACGGTGTGGACCATATTTCATATAAACCATCAAGAATCTAGTATCATCGAAACAACACTTGAACAACAATCAGAGGCGCTCAACTCTTTTGTTGTTTACGCGCGGATGAATACATCATCGTTCTGTGAAAGTTTGCGCCCAAATAAAAATCAGTTAAAGATACAGAATGGATCGTACAAAAAAATAATCTCGCTCGTGACATCACATGGGATACTGTATCTCTGTCCGAGGGGAGTGAATACAATTGCCATATTTTCAGAGACCATATAAATACGACACCAAAACAATAGTGAATAGATATCCAAAAAGCAAACACTTTGTAACATAAACCATTAAATTACGTTTAATTATTATTTCTTCATCGGTATTATCTTTTTGAGCAAATAATCGGGTTTCGGTCTCTAAGAGTGCAGGTAAACGCTGACACAGAAGGAGATTCTTTTTCAACACTGATATGGTAACTTTTTGGCGCCATGCTGGGCGCTGATCAGCGATGTCATCATATTACATAGCTTAGGTTAGTTGTGATTGTGATTTCATTTTTTTAAATGTAGCTATCGAATTGTAAAAGTAAATTTAAGGCGAAATAAGCCTTGTTAAGTGTTGCCATCCCATGTCTATAGCACGATCATGCTAATGAGATAGCTGCCAATGAAAGGCAGATAATACCCCTCATTAGGACTGCATGTTAGCGACGATCATGTGCATATAGAAACACATCTTGAAGGGGACGAGGTACAAACTATTCTATGTCTACACGCAGATTCAACATTATAGTTACAGTGATAATCTCCAGTGACATCACAATGTTAACTTTTACTTTACAATGAACGTACTTTATTTGGTTAACGAGTCTCCAGTGACGTCACAATGTTAACTTTCACTTTACATTAAACTATACCATCGAGTTACTGAGTCTCCAGTGACGTCACAATGTTAACTTTTACTTTACATTAAATTATACCATCTAGTTACTGAGTCTCCAGTGAGGTCACAATGTCAGCTTTTACTTTATATTAAATGTTATTAATGTTAACTTTTACTTAACATTAAACTATACCATCTAGTTACTGAGTCTCCAGTGACGTCACAATGTTAACTTTTACCTTAACTTTGAATTATTTGATTTGGTTACTGAGTCTCCAGTGACGTCACAATGTTAATTTTTACTTTACATTGAACATACTTTATTTGGTTACTGAGTCTCAAGTGATGTAACAATATTAACTTTTACTTCACTCAACACCACGTGATCTGAGACCTGCCTCGAGGAACTCAACACCAGGTGATCTGAGACCTGCCTCGAGGAACTCAACACCACGTGATCTGAGACCTGCCTCGAGGAACTCAACACCACGTGATCTGAGGCCTGCCTTGAGGAACTCAACGCAAATTGATCGGAGACGCCGAAGGTAACTGGCTGAGGCTACGCTGTCTCGGGGAACTCAATACAACGTGATATGAGACCCCTAGACACAGCATACACCTGAGAATAAACATATAATCATACATCATTGCTCGTCGAAATTCATAGCACTGTTTTTTTTTACAATATGTAGGTTAAATTAACCCAGACAGATCAGTGTGGTGCGGGCTTTTTTCTTCGCTGCTGTAAAACCATCGGAACAGCGAGGAGTTAGCTTGTACTAAAACACTCTGCTGAAGAAATTAGCGGTCTATTTGCTTGACGTAATTATTTTGCATTGTGAAGGAAAATAATTGGATGCTGGCTTCTGTAAAACATTTGTGTGGTAGAGTAAAGATATAAGCAATACAATCTTATAACATAGTACACGCGGAATTGGCTGGGGGATAACTAGCGCAGGGTTAACATCACATTTCTTTCATAGGTAATGCATCACCTCTCAGCGAACATTTTCCTCTTCATCACCGTAATCGTTATCAACTTTCTCCATTCAATGCCTTTCATTGGCGAATGCCTGTCTTAATGGTTTCTAGGGAATACATTCTGGAATAATGTAGAAAGTGGGACCCCCAAGAATTATTAACTCTAAAAACTCCAATAAACTGTGACACTCGCTAAACTACCGGAAGTATGTGTACTTACCACAATGCTGTTCGTCACTTCCGTCGATACAGTGTGGTATTCCGTCACACAGGTAGGCTATGGCGATACACTCGGAGTTGTTACACGTGAACTCCATGCTGTAACAGGTCCGGAAGTCTACAACCAAGAACCGCCAAAGTTAAATCTGATCAAACATGTTAACAAGTTAAGTAATGACACTGAAAACATGTTGGGTCCAAAAAGGTGTTGTTATAACTAAAATCCCACAAAAGATATCTATACATTGAATTCCTTACATGTATAACCCTTGAATTGTGACGATAACATTTATGTTGAATCACTTTGCATAGAACTTGTATTATGCTTAGAATCATTTATTTCATCGTAAGAGACGATAAACAGACTGTACTGATAGATAAGTAAAATACACAAATTGTCATCGCCTACGTGTAACACTGTCGTACTAAAGGGGGTCTCTAAAGGAAACAAAACAAGCATGACCTACCGTTGTAGCTATAGTGAGTGTCTCTCAAAAAGAGCAATACAGTCATCGCCTGTTACTATAGCTCTACGTGTAACAAAAGTCTCTCTAAAAGTGCAAAACGGCCACAGCCTGCTACTGTAGCTCTACGTGTAACAAAAATCTCTCTAGAGGTGCAATACAGCCACAGTCTGCTACTGTATCTCTACGTGTAACAAAAGTCTCTCTAAAAGTGCAATACAGCCACAGTCTGCTACTGTAGCTCTACGTGTAACAAAAGTCTCTCTAGAGGTGCAATACAGCAACAGCCTGCTACTGTAACTCTACGTGTAACAAAAGTCTCTCTAGAGGTGCAATACAGACACAGTCTGCTACTGTAGCTCTACGTGTAACAAAAGTCTCTCTAGAGGTTTAATACAGCCACAGCCTGCTACTGTAGCTCTACGTGTAACAAAAATCTCTCTAGAGGTGCAATACAGCCACAGCCTGCTACTGTAACTCTACGTGTAACAAAAGTCTATCTAGAGGTGCAAAACGGCCACAGCCTGCTACTGTAGCTCTACGTGTAACAAAAGTCTCTCTGGAGGTGCAATATAGCCATAGCCTGCTACTGTAGCTCTACGTGTAACAAAAGTCTCTCTAGAGGTGCAATACAGCCACAGCCTGCTACTGTAGCTCTACGTGTAACAAAAATCTCTCTAGAGGTGCAATACAGCAACAGCCTGCTACTGTACCTCTACGTGTAACAAAAGTCTATCTGGAGGTGCAATACAGACACAGCCTGCTACTGTAGCTCTACGTATAACAAAAGTATCTATTAATGTGAAATACAGCCACAGCCTGCTACTGTAACTATACTTGTAACAAAAGCCTCCCTAAATTAGCAATACAGTCTGATTATTTAGGACTCTTTAAGGAGGGACACTATCGTCTTTACGTACCGCACTCCACTTCGTCCGAGTTGTCCCCACAGTCGTTCTCAAAGTTACAATGGCCGTCCTGTGGATAGCAGTAGCTGTTTTTACACTTGTTGTGGGTGGTTGGACACGTGTACGTCTCTGTTTAAATAAAACGCAGGTCATTTTTAAGGTAGCATGCAAAACAGAGCATTTGTCGCCGACTAAATACAACCATATCATAATTCACATAATCTGTAAACAGAGCATTTTTCTTTGTAAGGTAGATGTAACGTACACATCCATATGCAGAGCATGTGTCACTCTCTATATGATAAAATACATAGGTATCAAGTAATGGCCACGGGAAGGGAGTAAGAGGGGTCGGAGGTATAAGGACAAAATCAAAGCTTGTCTTATTTTTCTTCAATTGATTGATTTTCATGGTTTTTTTATAACTCATCTGTGACCCCCGGATTAGTTTCTGGATCTGTCGCTGAAGATCGGTATGTTAAGTTGAAAATATACCAGTCTGTACATAAACACACACATGCAATAAGTCTATTTACATGTAGAAATGTACATGCACGGTGTGGATAAATTAATGAACAAGGGCAGCTGTGTATGACGACATTTGATACCGAGAAACAACCCTGTCTATCGTTAGACTTGTCAGCCGACTAAGAAGACACACAAGAAAGGACCTATTTCCTCATCCAAAGAGCTGTCACCGGCTCCTCGTGCTGCTTCATCATATGACGAACTAAAACGGTAACATACTTCGTTACAGCAGCGGAAATGGGCTCCCATGCAGCCTTTTCTCTTTAATTCTCAATACTTTACGCTCAGGGTCACATTTCCGGTAACTAACCAATGCTTTGGTTGGCAAACATAATCTAACGAAACTCCAAGAAACGACGAAATCTCGTGCTTTTGTTGGATTTAATTTCGTTAGAAAGATATATTACGAATACGGTAAAAAGGCGTTGACATCACTCTAGAGAAATGGTCGAAATTGATAAATGCACACACACAACGTCGGGTCACCCTGGGGTCTTGTTCGCCACACATCATCGTAGATCAGTTCATTTATGAAATATAAAGCACTGTTAGGGTAAAGTGTCACTCATTTTCGTGGAATCGATGAATGTCCAGTAACATTGACAACGGGGAAATGTTCAATGTGCTACACATTAATAGCCGAAGACGATAGTAACAGGATATAGGAACGAACTCGCCTGAGTGTTTGATACGTTGTTGTTAATCTCACAATTTATAATAAAGAAATAACTTATCTTAAACTGAATAACAAGAAACATAGAAGCATAGAGTTAAGACAATTGTCATTTTGTTTTTAAGATAATCAACTTCAATAAAGAAACTGTAAATGAACTTCCGGTTCGAGATGTTTAATATCACACGTTCGATATTTTCATTAATCGCTATTCTTATTGAAAAGGGCATTGTTGTTTACGTGTGTCGTTTTTTCTGATTGGATAACGTACTTATTATATCATTCGGAATGACGTGGTTCCATTACCTTTCTAAGAAGGCTTTTAATTGGCTCGCCGAAAAACATGGTAATATATGGAATATGGATGACAGGTTTCACAAATTAATACTTCGAACCCAAGAAATTTTCTATTGTAAAACCCCTTTGAATGGTACAGGACGGGAAAAGTCTAAACAGTGTTTGTATGATTTCACGTGTTTTTGTTTAATAAACTTGCTTGATGTTGGTGTCATGACGAAAGGGCGGATTGCCTCGAATTCGACAAATATTCCTGTTTGAAAACGTATTATACGTACCACAATCCTCCTCGTCCTTGCCGTCGTCACAGTCCCGATGGCGATCACAGCGTCTGATGACGTCAATACACACTGTCTTGTTACACTGGAACTCTCCCTCTAGGCATCCTACAACCAGCATTAACAGGTCCTGAGTCTGATTGAGTCAAACGCTTATATTACAGAGTCTGATTCAGTCATTCATTTAAGTTATCGAGTCCGGTTGAGTCAAACGCTTATATTACAGAGTTTGATTCAGTCATTCATTTAAGTTGACGAGTCTGGTTGAGTCAACCATTTATATTATCGAGCCTGATTGATTCAATCGTTTATGTTACTGAGTCTGATTGAGTCAATCGTTTATGTTACTGAGTCTGGACCAGTCGAACGTGTATATTACTGAGTCTGATGTTTATATTACTGAGTCAGGTGAAGTCAATATTTACATTTACTGGATTAAATGAGTATAGTGTTGGAAACATTGGGTCACGGTGCACAGGAAGGTATCGATAGTTAAATGCTTCTAATTCGATTCACAAAATGCATTATTCTCGAGTCACGTGTTGATGCAAATGTTTACAGCCGGTGTGCCATATCTTTGCAACCGTTGCATGTATAACATGGACATATTTAAAACCTTCATACAACAAACCAGCCTCTACTTATCTCTGTGTAAACTCATGTACTCGACATGTTGGAAGAGGTAAATTAAAATAAACAGTCTCTTAATGTCTTCATCATCGGTGATTACGAATGACATTACTCTCTGGTGTAATCCGTCTGTCTTAGTGTTGCTTCACTATCATCGATTTTGATGAATAGGTTGGCGAAGATATGCAGGATTTAATATAATAATGTCGTTAAAGAGTTCCACAGATCTATTTACCAGTGGTCAACACAAAGATAAGTAAGATTGATACTGTGGTATCATCAACGGTCGGCCAGACTACTGATGACCACAGCTGTGCGAGATATCACGATCAAAAAACCCTTTTGAGGCAGATCTTTTAACAAGTGATACATCAACAGTGACAATTAATTTCCTTTCGCTATCAAGCCCACGCACTCAATATACAACACGTATGTTGACAAGTATATCTCTCAGGGTTAGTAACCTGTATCACAGACATAATGGTTTGCGTATGTCGTATGCCAGTACATCTGATAAATATCACAGTGTGATAAAGTTGTTTTTGAGCAAAATCTGTTGAAACATTTCATTCATTTAGACTTATCATGTGGATAATCTTTCATTGACCGATTAGAGGCCTGGCCTCGGTTGTTCAAACATTGATAATTTTAACCAATGGTTCAAAAGAAAAAAGCAACGGCTTTCAAAACGAAAATAATCCTCAAAACAGATCGGTTTTTTTTGTCTCAACCACTCTATATCAGTGAAAAGATATCAGATGTTCTGAACTTTGTTGTGTTCATATTTCAAATTTTTCTCTAACCACTGGTTACAACTGTTTATCTCTAAGAACCTTTAAGCAACATGGACCCGTACGTCAAACACACACAAGCCGTAATGGTAGGGTAAAAACGGTAAACATCTATTGGAGGCGTACTTAACCGGTCAGAACAAATCCTTAGTGAAGCTGTTTCTGTTTTAATGTTTAATTTCTATTCATTATTTTATCTCTATTTTCTATATTTTATACACTAATGCAATTCTTTTTTAGCTTTATAAAATAAATATCGTAGACTTTCATTAGGAAGGGGTCAGAATCACAGAGACATGTCTTGGAGCAGGCCTGTGTCATTTTTGTGAGCTGAATAAGAAAGCAATGCCTTTAATTTCGTTTTCCATATTCAGAGAAACTGAATCAACTTAAATTACCACAATAATCACGTAGAAGACAATGAGGGGAGATAGGATCGAAGTATACAAGCTAATGTATGGTACATTGTGTTTATGAGGAGGACGTCATTCGTTTGTAATTAATCTATGGAAGGATGTTAACCAAAACAACCTGACAACAACAAGGTTAAGCTGTTAAAAATATAACACCTTCATATATGTATAATGAAATTAAACGATATTAGGACACTTCGGGTATCAGACAAGAAAACAGCTTGGCCCGTACCGTTAAGTTATATCTTTATTATGTAAACTAGACAAAAGTTGTAACATGTTTCCGCTAATTGAAAACAATGGTGACCCTTTCAAATATTGTACTGTCTCCAATAATTTAAACAACGACACTGGTCGGGTCTCTTGCATGACATTTACAATATTTTAAAACTGAAATGGCGGACCTGAGAAAAAAGAACAGTGTGACAATTTTGGTTCTGATATCAACCCTGATTTATCAACACCAGTGTTGGACAAAAAGAGAATTAACTCAGACCAAATTTGGTTACTATTGGCCTTGTAAAATTTAAGAAGCAGATGAAAATGTCTTAGATTATCAGATAACATGTACAGGTGGCCATCTTTCTTTGTGAATCGGTCTTCAAAGGTAATAACACTGGGACAAGACAAAGAGAAGATCAATTCTTCAAGATCGGAGAAGAAATGTGTGGATAATAGTTCAGCTTATTTAAAACTAAGACAGACATGTTGAATTTTTAATGAGCCCTAGCAACTGGTAATGAAATTATCGTTTGCGTATTTTTTTTTTGACATTTAGAGAAATTAATATTTATAGGTAAGAAAGAGTATAATTTTAAAGTTTTATTTTCATTTACTTCACCCATCTAACCCCAAGTGGGACACAGCACAACCTTCTTTTATGCAATGTTCAACATGCAGTCATCCTGGTCAATGCAAGAGATGCTACAGGATAAATCTCTTCACCTGAACTCAAAGAGGAGTCTTTTAAGTATTTATTCCTACACTGTATTTCCCCTATTTACCCCGCCCCGGTTCACATACATTGTTCATCAAATATTGAGTTCGATAGACGCAGTGTTCTAACCAGATTTGGTCCGAATCAATGTGTGGTTAAACTTTTATCAGCCACTCAGGAGAAACAAGTTGACGTACGGACGACGCGCCGCAGAACTAGCTCACGTGGCCTTTCGGGTCAGGAGAGCTTTGAGAATTGAATGGATCACCAGATGATGTTTTGTTTGCCCCTTTGCTTAACTGGACCCTGGGAATATATATACCTGGTACATGCTGATTTCGGGTAAGAACACTGAGTGTCGTTATGTATCTAACCATTTGTAGTTATTTTGTATCGGACTGCTGGGAGTTTCATGTAGAGATTTGGTATTCTAACATGTTATAATTTTTTAGTAAAGTACACAAGTGATTGTAAAAAGGCAAAAAAGGAAATTGAACTCCTTTGCCAAAGAAAGTTAACTCTCACCACACACGTCGACAGACTCGTCTTTCCCAGTACTGCATTCGCTGACTCCGTTGCAGACAAGCGATTGGTCAATACATTCCGTGTCAGCCTCGTTACAGTGGAAGCTATCTGAGTCAACGCAGAGTTTGTCGTCTGCCAGAATCTCCACACCTTCACTCAAGGGACGAAACACTGGAGAGAAAAACATGAGGAATAAGTCAAAACAGAACACGATAGTAGTTTTTCTGTAACAATAATCTGAAGTATATTGTGTCGAAATCCTAACTAGTTTTGGTTTTGAGCATCTACATTTCTCGTCAAAAATTGTTAATGTGACATGCTCTCGAACATAGACGACAATATTTGTAATCCATCACTGTCAATGTTTATTTATACACCAATACGTAATAGTACAAAACGATGCAACAGGATCGCACATAGACGTGCACGATACCCCACGTCAGTGACCTTGACATGCATGCATAATAAAACATGTGTTAAGTCAAGTGGCGTGTTGATGTATGCGGACAATAAAACACTAACGGTGTTGTTTCTGGCTCCTGGTTTACGACACAGAGTCGTGATAACATGTCCCGATCGTCCTTTTCAACTTGTGATGTACAGTGCATCTCTAATAGTAATGATTTGTATCTTAGATACATGGAAGAATACAACAACGGAATTACAGGGAGAAGAAAGGCGTTCAACATTCCAACAAGCAAGAGCTGCAACGCTGGAATCCTTTCCTGATTAGCGTGTTTCCTCAGGTGACTGATAAACACAAGTGTATCAGAAGATTTTGGTACCAACGTATTGGATCATTTAAATAGATCAATGGAACATGACGTTATTTAATGACCGAGTCGTAGATGTTTCAAACGAGATTTGTAACAATATATTGGATGATTTAACATCAGTCAAAAGAATACATGACGTAACGGTCGATTCGTATTTAAATACTCTTTGGTGTTCTAAATTTTGAAACATCGCTCGATTTATATAAGATCTTATTAACTAAATCTTTTCTTGTGAATACACGGAGGACATCTATATGGCAGACATAGTTCGGAAGACTTAAAACATTCCTTATCTATATTAAAGTGGATGAGCACAGGTTCTGCACAGCAAGAAAAAGAAATTGGGTTTAACCTGACTGAGAACTATAAGACCAAAGTAATCGATAAACTGTTTCGGGGTTCTATATCTGAAATACGTATAACAATGACATATCTAGCTACAATCGAAGGAACATTCACAGACATTAAACTGATTATAGAAGGTAATAAACTTTGTATGTAACTCGTAATTAAAATATTCGATGACTGTAGAGGAAGGACAACGTGTTTATTGTAAAATGATACTAACAGCATTTCGTCTGAACATCGGACACGACGAAATACTTGGAATAACTTTCTATTTTGGTCAGATAACGAAGTGATTACTCCAGCTGAGCACGTGCACATTAAATAGATGCGTCGCCATCTATGATAAATTAACTCGTGCTCAAATATCATCTCATAACCTCACCAAACTAGAAAATTCATTCTTTGATTAACACTGCTTGTCTGTGAATGTTTCATAACTGCTTTATTCATTAGTCAAATCAAAAGGATGAACAATTCATTTTCAAAACTTAATAATGTATTATCGGTTCAATAAAAGTAAAAGCCTGGAATTTGTATAAACCTTTGTTAACGTCATCCATATATACTGTTGATGACGTCAGATGCCTTTACATGTCCGCTGCAAGCTCCACTATGAGCATTACCATAAGAAAGTGCGTTCATAAAGCTATGAACGCAATTGGATCAGCGTCATTTCGATGTTTCTTCTCCCGTCTCGATTAACATGGGACAATCGCTAGAGGCAAACATTTAGATGTACTGACAGTAATAACATTTTGTTGACGCCGTGTACATGTCTGACAGCTCTATGTATATCGGTAGTACATATATGTTTACATGTCTGTCAGCTTTATGGGTATCAGTAGTACAGATATGTTTACATGGCTGTCAGCTCTATGGATATCGGCAGTACAGATATGTTTACATGTCTCTCAGCCCTATGGATATCGGCAGTACTAATATGCTGATATGTCTGATGGCTCTATGGATATCGGCAGTACAGATATGTTTACATGGCTTTCAGCTCTATGGATATCGGCAGTACAGATATGTTTACATGTCTCTCAGCCCTATGGATATCGGCAGTACTAATATGCTGATATGTCTGATGCCTCTATAGATATCGGCAGTACAGATATGTTTACATGTCAGTCAGCTCTATGGATATCGACAGAACAGATATGTTTACATGTCTGTCAGCTTTATGGGTATCAGTAGTACAGATATGTTTACATGGCTGTCAGCTCTATGGATATCGGCAGTACAGATATGTTAACATGTCTGTCAGCCCTATGGATATCGGTAGCACAGATATGTTTACATGTCTGTCAGCTCTATGGATATCGGCAGTACAGATATGTTTACATGTCTGTCAGCTCTATGGATATCGGCAGTACAGATATGTTTACATGGCTGTCAGCTCTATGGGTATCGGCAGTACAGATATGTTTACATGTCTGTCAGCTCTATGGATATCGGCAGTACAGATATGTGTACATGGCTGTTAGCTCTATGGGTATCGGCAGTACAGATATGTTTATATGTCAGTCAGCTCTATGGGTATCGGCAGTACAGATATGTGTACATGGCTGTTAGCTCTATGGGTATCGGCAGTACAGATATGTGTACATGGCTGTTAGCTCTATGGGTATCGGTAGTATATATATGTGTATATGTCTGTCAGCTTATTGTATATCGGCAGTACAGATATGTGTACATGGCTGTTATATCTATGGTTAAAGATAGTATATATATATTTGCATGGCTGTTAGCTCTATGGATATCGGTAGTATTTATATGTTTACATGGCTGGTATCTCTACGGTTATCGATAGTATATATGTAGATATGTGTACATGGCTGTTAGCTCTATGGGTACATGTATCAACAGCACATACATGTTTACATGTCTGTTGGGTCCATGGATATTGGCAGTAAAGGTATCGATGCATTAACATATGTGTTGGCTCTCTAAGGATACATTGTATCGGCAGCGCAAATGCATTCTTTAAACTTTGGACAATACAATAAAGGCGAATTCATCACGAACATCCTATCGATAACTAGTATTGTGAGGTATATGGCCGGCGGAGGGGCAGCAACACAAGTTCTTTCTGTACTGTAAATACAAATTAAAGTTCAGTAGACAGATCACCAAAATAATGAAATATACAAGTACTTGTGTACTCGGTAAGTTATATAAGATGGTTGTGTAAATGGATACATCAGGAGATTAAGACAACCGTAGGTAAACCGGATATGTACACAGCAGCATATAGACAGTATGCAAACCGTTTTTGCTCGAATTCTTGCACTGTGTACTTTTGCTGTATTTCATACAAATGAAAAAATATATATTTGTATAAAACTGTAAAAAAAAATGTTAACATCTAATGCAAGAATGTTTTTCTTGGTTAGAATGTCGTAAAACACAATATATCACTTGTTTAGAGGTTAGGGCAGCGCTCCTGTACTCTACAGTCAACAACGTCGGAGTCAAATACTCCGGTTCCTAGGGATGTGAATACTCATGACGATTTGATGTATCGTATTGGCTTCGGGTATAAACACAACTTTCCTGCTTGTTATTTGTCCTTTGGGAATACCAGGCGTACATGTAATAAACATTAAATAACTTAAACAATGATAGCGAAAGTTAGGCGAGGCAGTGTTTCTGTCAATTACATCAGGTATCGTCAATCAAACACTGATAAATCATCTCGGCCTAGCAACGCGTGCTCTCACCTCACTTCCCTCTTATCAGCCTAGCAACGCATGCTCAGATACTGACATGTCACTTCACTCTCTCCTCAGCATTGCAACTCATGGTCTCACTTGACAACTCACTTCCCTCTCAGCCTAACAACGCATGCGCTCACCTAACAACTCACTTCTCAGCCAAGCAATGCGTACTCACATACTTACATATTATCTCAGCTAAGCAATGTTTGAGCTTAAACTAGCATGTCACCTCTTACTAGCAACGCATACTCTCACATTGACAACTCAACTGACAATCTTCTAAACCTACATCATATACACTTCCCTCTTCTCAACTTAGCAACCCATGCTCTCACACTGACAAGTCACTTCTCTCTTCTCAACTTAGCAACCCATGCTCACATACTGACAAGCCGCTTTTCTCTTCTCAACTTAGCAACCCATGCTCCCATACTGACAAGTCACTTCTCTCTTCTGAACTTAGCAACCCATGCGCACATACTGACAAGGCGCTTTTCTCTTCTCAACTTAGCAACCCATGCTCCCATACTGACAAGTCACTTCTCTCTTCTGAACTTAGCAACCCATGCGCACATACTGACAAGTCGCTTTTCTCTTCTCAACTTAGCAACCCATGCTCACATACTGACAAGTCACTTCTCTCTTCTCAACTTAGCAACCCATGATCACATACTGACAAGTCGCTTCTCTCTTCTCAACTTAGCAACCCATGCTCACATACTGACAAGTCACTTCTCTCTTCTAAGCCTAGCAACACATACTCTACATTGACAACTCACCACTGCCTAATATTACTGTATAATCTGACAATCTTCTAAACCTACATCATATACACTTCCCACTATCAACTTAGCAACCCATGCTCACATATTGACAAGTCACTTCTTTCCTCTCAACTTAGCAACCCATGCTCTCACACTGACAAGTCACTTCTCTCTTCTGAACTTAGCAACGCATGCTCTCATACTGACAAGTCATTTCCCTCTTGTCAACCTAGCAACGCATGCTCACATTCTGATAGTTTATTTCCCTCTCCTCAGCCTAGCAACTCATGCTTACGTTCTGATAAGTCCCTTCCTCTTATTTACCTTGCAATACATGCTCACATACTGACCTAACACACTCCCCTTTCCTCAGCCTAGCAACGCATGCTCACATTCCCTTCCTCTCCTTTACCCTCCATTGCATCCTCGCATACTGAAAAGTTTCCACCCCTCTCTTCTGCATAGCAGCGTATGCTCGCAAACTGACAACATCGCTTTCCTGTCCTTTACTGACATGTTACCATGCATCAAGTCGTGTCCTCCTCTCATCTCCTCACTTTCAC